CATCAAACTCCCGTTCGTTCAATCGTATTTGACCCCGACCAGGTTAATCCGGACATCCCTCAGAGCACACCGAGAGCGAAGTGACGCAAATGCGCGACGGCACCTAAACGACAATCGCGTAGACTTAAAACGGCCACTGGCTTGCAGATAGCCGTGGTCACCACCTATACAGTAGCGTTGTGGATGCGTAGTAGGGTATCGGTTCAGAGCATGTTTCGTATTAAGACACGGGGGTCTAGGCCGCGCTCGCATTGTGAACGATGTCGCAGGACGAGTATTACGGCTTTGGCGCTGCTCTTGTGCAACATAATTAATGTACCTAGATATTCTTCGAGAAAATGACAGTTTATTCATGAAATAGACGTATATCTATTTTGTAGATACTTCATAAAATTTTAATTCGGTTAACTCGGACAGTTAACAGTTTTCTTAGCCTCTTGAAATCATAATTACCAAGCACTTAATGGATTATGAAACTATACTGTTCACGTTACCGTGGAAGACCATACACGTGATGACGCCAAGACACTTATAAGGCTAGCTCGTTTTTTTGTTGTTGTTGTAGTTTTTTTTTGTCAAGAACATATTGCGGTACGTTAACAGGATGCAAAGGCAAAATAAACCAACCGAAGACGTTGATCGATATAAGGATAAGTGGGAAGAAAACGGTAATTTATTAATGTCTCCCTGGAACGCTTTCGGTAATTAGGAAACTCGTGGGCATGTGCAGTATAGCAGCGAAAGACAAAGGGGTCCCCTTAATGAAAAAGCCGCAGAGTTCCACCTTGCGGAGTGTCTCGCGGGTAACTCAAATTTAGGAACGACTTGAAATTGAAGCGGTTCGCACACGACGCATCGCTCCCACGAAATACACGAAGCGTAAATTCAACACAACATGACTTCCACTGCTAGCCTACAGTTGTGCCGCTTTCTTTCCCGTGTGCCGTTCTGCTCTAGAAGAGAGAGAGAGATAAAGATGCAAGGAAAGGCAGGGAGGTTAACCAGACGCACATCCGGTTTGCTACCCTGCACTGGGGAAGGGATGAAGGGGAGAAAAGAGGTTGCAGAGAGATGAGAAGGTACACGCAATCACGAGCACACTCGGGGAGCACACAAAGTCTACAGGTGGTCGCTCAGGTTTGGTTGACTTAAGGTAAAGTAGCAGTGCTTTAGTTGCTTTCTGTGACACTGAGGCAGATGCCCAAGGTCCTAGTATCTTCTGCACACAAAATGGTCCGGGGTCAAGTCGATTCAAAACCATCCGGAGCTGTCATCACTGTGTGTCGTAGCAAGCGCAGCTGCACAGGACGTGTGTGCTCTAGAAGATTTAGTGAGAACAAAGCACGCTGAAAAATCGTCAGTTTAATTGATGAACCGTTACACAATACTCCTGTTGTTTATCGCCTTTATGAGTGCTTTTCGCCAATAAAAACGATATATTTATGCATACATTCCTAAAGGAGGCAAGTATCTACTTAATAAAATACTTCCTCTAATAAATAATTCAGAATTGTTAGGCACAACACGGAACTCGCTCCTATTCATCAGAAACGGCGAGCCAATAACTTCGAATGCTATAGCGCTAATACTAGGCAACATATATAACATATTTGGCTATCGTATTACCTAACTCTACCAATTTACGTAAACTCGATTTATTGTAATTCGTGATGTGATATCTTTACGTAATTACTTCACATATATGATACCTGCGTATACCTTTACGTCGTGTCTTGATTATTTATATAAGTGTGCAACGTCTGCCGCAATGACATTTTTCGTTCAATATAAGGGTTAACTGAAGGACGGTTTTACAAAACTTAAAATTCTGCAAGATAGTGCACATAAGGGCAATTTTGAATGGAAAAACGAAACAAGACATTCACAGGAACAAGCGATGGAGACACACGAGCGCCCCTCTTGTTCCTTGTTGTTATGATTGCCTTGTTTATTCACACTCAGAATTCCCGTTAGTTAACCGGAGGACTCGCTCTAACTGAATGTAGACTGAGAATTCTTTGTGTGCGAATTCCATGTGATCGTGCGTGTATTCTCCACGTAGGCAAACGCTATTCTAAAACTCATATGGCGCCCGCTACGCCCGCAACACCCGCAGCACTTACAAACGCTATTCTAAAACTCCCTAATATTTACCCCGATGAAGCGTGGCGCTACGATCGTTCAGCCATCATGGGAACAATGAGGAGACTTCATGAATTCCGCTAAGTCTTTGTCATTGCTGCTTCGCCAGCAGTTGTGCCTTTGTTTATTGTTGTGATTCGGTTTCAGTTTGAGATAAAATAACGGCTCGCTGTGAAGCAAGTGGGCATATTTGAATTAGTCGGCCCATATAAAAAGATTGAGACGGTGAAGTATGGGACTGCTGAGCTTTTTGTTGAAGTTCTTCTCGTGACAACGTGACTGCGGGCCTCGCTTAGCTTCACGGACCCGAAAGAGCGAGGCTTAGTCTGATCAATGTGCTTATCCATCATTCCCATACTGAGTGAGGTATCATGCACTGCAGCTCCCTTAGACCAGCGCCAAAACTCCATCCAGTGCCCTAGAGTAAAAACTAATTAATTCGACACTATATAATTCGCCAAAATTGTACAATTCGGACGTGTTCGCGGGTCCGGGCCAGCGTTATATTGTTTAATGCCATCAAACTCACGTTCGTTCAATCGTATTTGACCCCGACCAGGTTAATCCGGACATTCCTCAGAGCACACCGAGAGCGAAGTGACGCAAATGCGCGACGGCACCTAAGCGACATTCGCGTACACTTAAAGCGGCCACTGGCTTGCACATAGCCGTGCTCACCACCTATACAGTAGCGTTGTGGATGCGTAGTAAGGTATCGGTTCAGAGAATGTTTCGTATTAAGACACGGGGGTCTAGGCCGCGCTCGCATTGTGAACGATGTCGCAGGACGAGTACTACGGCTTAGGCGCTGCTCTTGTGCAACATAATAAATGTACCTAGATATTCTTCAAGAAAATGACAGTTTATTCATGAAATAGACGTATACTTATTCTGTAGATACTTCATAAAATTCTAATTCGGTTAACTCGGACAGTTAACAGTTTTCTTAGTCGTGCACCTAATGGATTATGAAACTATATTGTTCACGTTACCGTGGAAGACCATACACGTGATGACGCCAAGACACTTAGAAGGCTAGCTCGTTTTTTGTTGTTGTTGTAGTTTTTTTTGTCCAGAACATATTGCGGTACGTTAACAGGATGCAACGGCAAAATAAATTAACCGAAGACGTTGATCGATATAAGGAAAAGCGGGAAGAAAACGGTAATTTATTAATGTCTCACTAGAACGCTTTCGGTAATTAGGAAACTCGGGGGCGTGTGCAGTATAGCAGCGAAAGATAAAGAGGTCCCCTTAATAAAAAAGCCGCAGAGTTCCACCTTGCGGAGTGTCTCGCAGGAAACTCAAATTTAGGAACGACTTGAAATTGAAGCGGTTCACGCATGACGCATCGCTCACGCGACATACACGAAGCGTAATTCAACACAATAAGACTTCCACTGCTAGCCTACAGTTATGCCGCTCTCTTTCACGTGCGCCGTTCCGCTTTAGCAGATTTAGCGAGAACAAAGCACGCTGAAAAATCGTCAGTTTAATTGATGGACCGTTACACAATACTCCTGTTGTTTATCGCCTTTATGCGTGCTTTTCGCCAATAAAAACGATATATTTATGCATATATTCCTAAAGGAGGCAAGTATCTACTTAAGAAAATACTTCCTCTAATAAATAATTCAAAATTGTTAGGCACAACACGGAACTCGCTCCTACTTTTCAGAAACGGCGAGCCAATAACTTCGAATGCTATAGCGCTAATACTAGACCACCTATATATAACATATTCGGCCATCGGATTACCTAAACTCGACCAATTTACGTAAACTCTATTTATTGTAATTCGTGATGTGATATCTTTACGTAATTACTTCACATGTATAATACGTGCATATACCTTTACGTCATGTCCTGATCAATTATATAAGTGTGCAACGTCTGCCACAATGACACTTTTCTTTCAATATAAAAATGAACTGAAGGGCGATTTTACAAAACTCAAAATTCTGCAAGATAGTGCACATCTAATGGCAATTTTGAATGAAAAAAAAAAAACAAGACGTTCACACGAACAAGCGATGGAGACAAACGAGCGCCCCTCATGTCCCTTGTTCTTGCGGATGACTAGTTTATTCGCGCTCAGAATTCCCCTCAGTTAAGTGGAGGACCCGCTCTTAATTGAATGTAGACTAAGAATTCTTTGTGTGCGAATTCCATGTGATCATCCGTGTATTCTCCACCTATGTAAAAGCTGCTCGATTGGTCAAGTCAAAGCATTCAGTTTATACATCGTGTAAGCTTTGAGTCGAAGAAAGTTGGCTGGCTTAGTTGGTTTGATAAAAAGTGTTTTAACGTTCCAAAGCGATACGAACCATAAAAAAGGCTGTAGGAGAGGGCTCCAGCTAGTTTATAAACACCCAGGCGTTCATTAACATCCACTGACATCACGCACTACACCAGGCCTGAAGCATTTCTATATCATCTAAATGAGACAGCCGCGACCAGAATCAAACCTGCATCCCACTCACCGCCGCTGCACACCTTAAACACTGCACCTCCACGGCTACTGAGAGGTAGCAAGCTCACTTTCGAGGAGTATAAACAAACAATAGGTGTTGGTCACTTGACCCATTTATTTATACATTGATACACGTTGAATATTTCGTACATCGAGCTGTTGAACAAACATTACGTTCGTTCGTCCAGGCACCAATCCAAGAGGAATTTTGTGGGATCGAAAGAAACATTAGCTCTACATCGACTGACCCCAATAGTTGATTAATTCGTTTGTTCATACGTCCATTCATTCAATTTTATTTCTTTTTTTCTCGTTGAATTCATATCGTTGCAGCTTTAGGTTAGACGTATCGGCTAAAAACGCGTCTGTTTTCTGATTACTGCAGACGGAATCTACCACACCGTGGACATCCTAGACACGGCAGGGTCGCACCACTTCCCGGCCATGCGGGAACTGAGCATCCGCTCCGGTCGGGGCTTCGTGCTCGTCTTCTCCGTCGACAGCTTACAATCTTTCCACGAGGCCGCCCAGCTATGGCATCTCATCGCAAAAATCAGAGGTGAGTATTACCATTACAGATACTCATGCAGATAAACGTACCAATATAGATAATGATATAGGTGACTGCGGAAGATAAGCCGTCCTCCAAGAGCTTTACGAACGTAGAACTCTCACTCGGTAGGGAGCGAACATCAGACATACGTACAGTGTCAATTTTTATGAAAGAGAACACGGCGACGCGTGGCCTGCGCGCTGGATGGATGGATATGGCTGTACCCTTTAGATCGGGCGGTGGCTAGCGCCACCAAGCCGTAATACCTAATGAACCAAAAACTATATTTATTTTTTTTTCTTAAAAAGTGAGTTTGAGGATTCGTACTTTGCAGTGAAGAGTTTAATTTTCACTCGTGCCTCGACTTTAGCCACCAATCAGATAACCTCCTTCTAGTTAAGTCTACCCGCTTAAAGTCTATTTTGCCCTCCTGGTCCCTAAACCCAGTGCTTTGAAAAACGCAGCGCCATCATCCTGAACTATAGGGTGAAGCCCTTACAGAACATATAAAGTGTCGGCAGTTTCTTCTCCTCTCCACACGCACTGCTACTGTGTCTACCCCTTCGTATTTGGCCCGATATGTCTTGGTTCGCAGTACTCCCGTCCGGGCCTCAAACAGTAGAGAACTACCCCGAGTATTATCATAGATCCTTTCCCTGGCAATTTCCTGCTTAAGGTTCGATAGGTCTCTAGTGCGGACTTCTTAATCATGCCCATTCTCCACATGTCAGTCTCAGTTTCCTTCACTTCTCTTCTTAACCGACAGTTCTTTTTGGTTTGGCCACCCTGCTGTTTTCTAAGTATTTACCAGTCAACTTCCTGGTTCGCTTCCTCCATTTCGTATCGACATTTTTTCAGCATAAGTAGCTGAAAACCTTCCTAGCCCAACGCTCTTCCCCCATTTCTCTCAATCGTTTCTCAATTTTATCTTGCTGCTAGCTTTCCCTGCCCTCAAATGATGTCCATCCCATATCACCTTGTACTCCCTGATTTGGTGTTATTCCCGTGAGCTCCTAAAGCAAGCCTACCTATTCCCCGTTGCTTAATTTCTAATCTTGTTTGAACTTCTGATCTCATGCACAAGACCGCATTGCCGAACGTCAGGCCAGGAACCATGACCCCTTTCCATATTCCTCTCACAACATCATACCTATTGTAATTCCACAGGGCCCTATTTTTCATGACTGCTGCATTCCTGTTACCTTTAGTCGTCACGGATATTTCGTGTTCCCTCAGATACTCGGTCCCATTGCTTATCCATACGCCCGATATTTGTATTTATGTGTAATCTCTAGCGTGACCTCCTGTATTCTAAGCTCACTACCTTCGTTGTCATTGAAAATCATGACTGCTGATTTTTCCTTACTGAATCTAAAAATCTAACCTATCTCCCTCATTACCGCAGATGTCCATCAATCTCTGCAAATCTTCCTTGTTGTTGGCCATTAGCACTATATCATCTGCGTACATTAATGCTGGTAGTGCCTGATCAATAAGTTTTTCTTGTTTGACTAAAGAGAGGTTGAAGCCCAGCCCACTTCCCTCTAATTCCGGCGGCTGCTGGCACCACTTCCCGGCCATGCGGGAACTGAGCATCCGCTCCGGTCGGGGCTTCGTGCTCGTCTTCTCCGTCGACAGCCTACAATCTTTCCACGAGGCCGCTCAGCTATGGCATCTCATCGCAAAGATCAGGGGTGAGTATTACGGTTACAGATAGAGATACCATTACAGATACGGATGCCGATATACGCACGATTATAGGTGAAGATAGAGGTGACTGCGGAAGATAAGCCGTTCTCCAACAGCCTTACGAACGTAGAACTCTCACTCGGAAGGGAGAGAACATCACACATACGTACAGTCAATTTTTATGAAAGGCCGCGCATTCAAGCGGGAGCGAGAGCAACCACAGCCTCTTCTCGCGTCATCTCGCGGCGAGGAAAACAACCGTTCGTTGCTGATATGGAACCGGCGACAAGATCGTCAGCCCTCCCCCTTGAAGGCGATTACATGAGAGCCGGCAACCACCTTGAAGGGGGAGGGGATCGCAATCTTTCCAGTGGCTCCACATCAGCACTGACATCTTGTTTTGCCCGCCGCGAGATGGCGCGAGAAGAGGCTGTGGTTACTCTCGCTCCCACTTGAACGCGCTGCCAGCAGCCGCCGGAACGCGCAGGCCACGCGTCACCGTGTTCTCTTTCATGAATGTTGACACTGTACATATACAAACACGCTTATGCATATACATAAGTTTGCGTATACATGTGCAACATGTGCAACAGCAAATCTATGTTTCCGCGTGTTTTGTACCCACATTTTTCTCTTGAAGTCAATGAAACGAAACAGGTGCATGTGACCACAGTTTAGAAAAAATAAAGTGGACCTGACTCAGACTCGCTAAATATATTGTTGCGGTATGTTATAGTAGTTCGCCATGCCACGAGACAACTGCTCCCAGACCATGGCCGTACATTTCTATGTGGTCGAGCCCCGAGAGGCTATGTTGAAACACGCGAGCAAGCATCCGCTTAGGAGCTCCCTGGCGAGAACGGCGATCGCACCACTCCACCGAATATGTTATGACAAGGATACCGACACGGAAAGGTAGCCACAGATATATTTTCAGCTGAATCAGCGAGCAGCGCCAGCGACATTGATTACCTCTCGCCAGTCTATCCTCTTTGTTCTCATCGCCTCGATGCCATTGGTACCTAGCACTGTTTTCCACTTATGGCACACTCGAACTGTTTTAGAAAAAGTGGGCGACGATTTAGAGCAGTAGGTAGTCTACAATGGGAGAGTGTAAAGCCGTCCCGTGGACCTCGAAGCTATTATTAGGACTAAAGCGCAGAAACCATAGCAAAATTTCATCGATAAACATAAGCTCTTGCCTCATATGCGCCAAACAAAACCCTTAGCTTGAACCACGAACTATTCATCTATTCAAATTTTAATTTGTACCATGGATGTTGCAGGCGTGCGGCGCACGTAGACGCGCGCAGCACGCCTGCGTAATATCCCTGGTACAAGTTAGGAAATATAGTAGAAATAGTAACACAGTTTTATTCAGCCAAACGACCAGGGTATGTTCTTCACTCGGACCCGGGATGTTTTTAAATGTGAAGCATTTCTTGGCGAACTTCGGCGACTTTGAGCGTATCCATCTATCTATCTATCTATCTATCTATCTATCTATCTATCTATCTATCTATCTATCTATCTATCTATCTATCCACCTACGACGCTTAGCTCTCCTGGCCGTTTTGATAATGGTATCGATATGAAACATAGTATGGCATCACATGACTGTATGGAAAACATATCTGACTAGTCATGACACTAAAACAAAGACATGTATCTCATGAATGTCGTGATTTATTATTCATGGTTCTGCAGCTCTTGCGGTGGTTTCGTTCACATGGCATGTTGCAAAACTTGTATGGTATGACATCATTGCATGGCGAACACAAGTGACGGACCTTAACATGAAAATCATGGCATGCTTGTCATGTAACATGACTACATGCCACGCTCACGATACGCTCGCGGCCGTTCCGCTAGCGTCACATATACCGAATTTGGTATTACGGTACGCGAATGGATGACGAAGGTATGTGACCGGTGCAAACATGATAATCATTGCATGCGTGCCATGTAACAACATGACTACATGCTGTGCTCATGGTGCGCTGGCGGCCGTTTCGCTAGCTTCACATATACCAAGTTTGGTGTTACGTGACGTCAATGAATGACGAAATATATAACTGGTGCAAACATTATAATACTGACAAGCGTGTCATGTAAGAACATGACAACATACCACGCTAATATCGTGCTCACGGGCGTTTCGCTAGCTCCACATATACTAAATTTGATGTCACATGACGTGAATAGATGACGAAGGTAAACGACATATCCAAACATGATAATCATGGCACAGAAGTCATGTACGGCGTCATTTACCACCACCTCGTAACGTTGTGCTGACTTTAAAGTGACACATCAACCTTTCTCATTCGCGCTTCGCATATCATTGATTCCCACTGTACATGGAATCTGCCAATTTTTTAAATGAAGGATAGTTGAGCTGTGTCATGGCCTCAAATGCCGCTCTGCTAAATAAGCAGCTGGTAGCCTAGCACTTTCCCTTGCTTCTTCTCTGTTTGTTGTGTTGAATAATATATATATATATATATATATATATATATATATATTCAACACAACAAACGGTGAGTTCTTGATATATATATATATATATATATATATCAAGAACTCGCCGCAAAAATTTTGGGGCTTTCTTAAAAATTCAAAGTCTAGCGAAAACGCTAGTCATCCTCAAGATGGCCTTATTACCCCTTCTTCGCTCAATGAGCACTTCCAATCAGTTTTCACGGCCGATGACGGCAATCAACCACCAATCGACATTTTGAACAAAGAACCATTGGAACTGCCCGTGATAACCGAACAAGGTATCTTTCATCTGCTCCTCCAACTTGACACAAAAAAATCCTCAGGACCAGATAACATTCCAAATTTGTTTCTCAACCGATATGCGGAGTGGATGGCAAAATATCTGTGCATCATATTTGATAAATCCCTAGCAACATGCACCATACCGAATGATTGGAAAAAAGCGAAAGTTAAACCGATACACAAATCAGGCCCAAAAGATGACGTAAATAACTTCAGGCCTATATCTCTTACTTGCACTTGCAGCAAACTTCTTGAACATATTATCTTAAAACATATCAATATATATCTTGAAAACGAACGCATCCTGTCGCCTTCTCAACACGGTTTCCGTAGGGGGCTTTCTACAGTCACGCAACTAACAGAACTAACCCATGATTTATCCTTAAGTGTGGACAACCAAAAACAGGTCGACCTTATCCTATTGGACTTTGCAAAAGCCTTTGATAAGGTTTCGCATAAAAAACTAGTACAAAAGTTAGAATGTACCTTAGGCAATGGCTCCGTTACGAAATGGATAAAAAACTATCTTACCG